CTACCACGTTCGACGCACATTGCCATATCCATGGAGAAGACGGCTTCGGGAAGACCGTATGGGGTAGGCGTGTTTGAACCCTTCGAGGCGAATGTTAGCCGTATCAGTTGCCGTTTCATTTCGTTTGGGCCCAGTCTGGTTGCACAACGGCCCCTCACCCTCATCATATCCCTCGGTCTGACCGAGGCACGAAACTTCCAGTCGAGCGAGAAGGATCGAGGAGACTTTGTACGCGGAGGCTTGTAGCCCACGTTGAGGCCCGCTTCGGCATCGGCGTCGTAGATGCGCGATAGCCAAGGGTTGCGCATCTGGTTGTCGAGAATATGCGGAGCAGCAGCTCCGGGTCTGTATCCACCAGGACCCGGAGCTCTCATCCAACCTTGTCTTGGTCGCCCCCAAATGTCCCAACCCCTGTGTGGACCTTCAAAAGCGTGCATACCGATCGGCACAGCTGCGGCTCGCATGGCGTCATCTTCCCTCAACCTATCTCGAGCCCCCGCTACTCGCGCCAGCTCAGTCTCGGCCCTCATGACCGCCATCGGATCATCCCTCTTGGCAGCCTCGATCAACTTCAATGGCGCTCTCCTCGCAGCTCTAAATATTTCTTGTGCGCGCCTAGCAGCTGCATGTTCGCGGTCCAGCTCGCTCGCCACGACCCCTTTGTGACCTCGCCGACCACTCTGGCTGTGCTCGTACATCTCAAATCGACGCGCCATGGAGTTTGCAATGAGGTGGTCCCGCCAGTTCATTTGTGACCATCCCGATGGCGGATGGGAGGCCCAGGCATTTGAGTCTGAAGGCACTGCAGGCCGTCTAACGAGTCGAAGCGTGGGTTGCGTACCGTAACCATACTCTTGCATCAGTGCCCAAGCGCTACCATCCCGTGGGTCATGCCATGTGCTGCTTGGCGGTGTCGTCGAAAGATTGACAAAGTAGAATGCTTGATGTACCGCGTCAAATTCGACACTCCAGCCTGAGTGAGGAGGAAGACGGAGCTCAGCTATCTGCACACACGGCATGTGCCGTGACATCTCACCGGAGGGTAAATTTCCGCCGCCATGCATAGCAAAGAGCTCAAGAGTCGATCTGCTCGGGACAAGGACGTGGGCTGGGCGCTGGACCGTCTGTGGAACCGGTACACTGGCCGCACTTAGGCTGTTAACAGACTCTTGAACGCTCGGCTCGGACCTCGACTGCGCAGGCATGCCTTGCGAAGTACCCTCAGACGAGAGCGGCACCGCCGCAGGATACATTTGCGTCAATCCAGCATCGCTCGGGGGAAAATGTACCCCCAGGGAAGGCTCGCGCGGAGAAGAAGCTGCGGTCGCGACGTCTTCGATGCGAGGAGGAAATGCTGAAGATGGCTGAAATGCTGGAGATTTATGAGTCTCTGATTGGTGCAACTGGTGCGACTCATACGGCTGATGTTCAGCATTCAAGGCGGTAGCTACCTCTGCTGGCGGGCCCCAAGGTCCGTGCAGGACGCTGTCTCCTGCTTGGGGCCACTCATTGGCGCCAACGTGCGGAGGCGCTGCATGTGCCTGATGGTCGTAGGCTAGGGGCACAAGGTCGTGCGACGTGACATTCCTGGTCCACGAAGGCACGGACACGGTCGCACCTGGAGGTGCGATTGCTTCTGGGTGATGCGTCGGAGGTACTGGCCACGGTAGGGATGGGTCCCATCCTCCCATGTCGTGACCGCCACCATCGTTTGGCGGCACAGAATGTGGAAGCACCGCCGGCTCATGAAGCAGCCCATGCCCAATGGCAGGCAAGTGCGTGTCTGGCGCCGCAACTGCGCCAAAAATGCCTGACTGCATCGCCGGTGGTAGGATGGGTTCTGGCAACTGGCGTGCAACGCCAGGCTCAGGACCAGTGGTGGATTCAAACTCGCTCAAAGTCGTTGAGATATCTGAGCGGGTCCTCACGTATTCTTCCAAAACGCGTCTTGCTTCCAATTCAGCATCAGCCTTGATTCGCTCAAATTCCGCCTCAGTCATGCCTTCGGGACGAGGCACATTCTTGAAGTCTGCTGACCGGCTCGATGAGCCATCGAAGGAGGAGGGATAGGCTGTCGAAGGCGGAATGCGTGCGGGTAGCGTGGATGGTGCAGGCGTACCAATTGGATCGGTGATGGGCATACTTAGACGGCGTATCGACAGAGGCCCTCCAACTCTGGACATTGAGACAACATTTGGAAGGGTTCCAGGTGCGGGTGGGGATGCGGTGAAGGTGGCTGAGTCGGGCACGTGGACTAGCGGCGGAGGTACAGAGGCAGAAGCTTCGTTGGCGTCGATGACCTTACCGGTAGCCACTGTCATCTGGGACAGTGTGGCAAGAGCCGCGCGAGCTGGTTCGCGAGGTCCACTGGGACGGATGCGCTGCTGTGCATCACCCTCAGACTTTTCAGAGGGCGCTGCTTCTTCGACGTACGCTTGACGGCTTGCGCCTCTACTGACAGCGCGCGAGACCGCGGCTCCCATTGCGGTGTTCACTGCGCCGGTGATTTGTTTCGCATCGATCTGCGTGTGAGGGAGATGCTTTATCGATGCGTCCGCGGAGTCGTTGCCTTCCTGGGCATGCTTTTCTTGCAGAACATTGGAGTGCGAGACGACCTCTGGCGGTGCACCAAGAGCAGCTGTTGGGGTGTTTCCGATGATGACCTTGGCTGGTATGGCGTGCTCCACAGGCGTTCTTGTGCTGACGTTTTGCATCGAAATCTTCTGCAATCCAGGCGCCGCCCGATCTTGAGCGACGAGCTCAGACGAAGCGTAAGGCGGTGGACTTGCTTGACGATCACCAGCTGGCTCACTCGGTGGCCTAGCCTCGGTCCCCGAGCGCTGTGCGGGGAAAGACGAACTTGTTTGAGCGGCAGGCAGAAGCAGAGGTGAAGGGTGTAGAGAAAAAGCTTGCGCTTCAGACTCTTTTCGTCGATGATTGTCAATGGTGGTCCAGCCTGGAGAGGGTGGACTGAATCCTCCAGCTTCGATGGGATTGAGAGCATGGGATGGAGTGCGAGCCGTCTCCCACTCTGCACCGACGGCTCTGCTTAGCAAGTAAGGCTCGCTGTCAGGAAGGGCCGCTGAGACTTCGTGCCAATCCGCATCTATGGGTGCCTGGTCTGTTGGTGGATGATGATCGTGCTCGTGACCAGGCATGGCTCCTGGCAGTGAGTTGCTAGTGGTAGGTGTCAGGAGCTCCTTCAACTTCGCATCTGGACCGTTAGAAGTAGGGCCGAAAGATGCTGGAGGAAGTTGGGGCACAGAATGCGGTTCCTGAGAGGAATCTGCATCAAAAGCATCGACGCCAGTCAAGCTTTCCATCAGAGCCAGCAGCCCTCGCTGATCTGGTGCCATCTTCGGTACGCAGCTGCGAAATGATGCCTCGTAAGGCTGCGAAGGTCGCTAAATGGCTGCTGCTTTGGATAGCCTGATCTGTTAGCTCGGTTCGGGCACCTGCGATGATCTGATGCTTGCGCAAAGTGTGGGGCTGAAGGTCGTGCAAGCGTAAGATAGCGAGTCGCAGCTGAAGTATGCGGTGGGCCAAGAGCGATCGTCTGAGTGGCGCTTGGACAAGAGAAGACTCGCTGAAACGGCTGCGCGCGGCGCTGTATGCCTGCTGAGACCGTTGTGCTGATGCTGTGAAACCGTCGCCGCTGACGATTACTCTGAGGCTGCGCTGCTGTCCACGCTGCGGCGCCTTCTGGCGAGGTGGATTTGTGTGCCACTGACGACTGTCGCTATACGCAGCTCTAGGTCGAAGTAGAGCGCAGAGAGCTGATATATGTCCTCATTAAAGACGCAGTCGAGATCCAGGTGAAACAGGAACGTGCGGGTTTCTTCATCGAATTTGAACAAGAAAGCGATGCTGTGAGCTCGCATTTGACCAAGACTCGATCGTGGCTTCGCTTGATCAGACATCATGTACATCTTGCGTTGTCCAGCAGCGATCCTGAGCAGGCTCATCGAGACTCTCATCAAATTAGCTCGATCACCGACATACGCCCTGGTCGGAGACTTTCGGGGCGCCATTGCCGACCAGTCGACGCAGTCAAAGACTGCTGATATATAGCATGGCGCCATGAGAGGTCCGCTACGTGATGTGCGCATATATGATTGTGAGCGCCTTCTGCGCTGAGGGTGCCTAGGCGAGCGTTTCTTCGCGCCGCAGGCCATATCCGCAAGGCCGCGGCAATCTCGGTAGCAAGATTTGGCTTCTAGGCTTCTATGTATAGCCAGAAGAGGCAGCAGCTATACATACAAAGTCATCTGCGTGTACATATATACACGCGAGATGCGATGGCCTAAAACCGCTGCGCCCCATTTTGAGTCGAAACGGACGTGCTAGCCGCTGATGCCTTTGGCGCGCGCAAGGAGCTTCTCAGCCGTATATCTGACGACGCCGTTCGGGCACTCGCGATCGATCGAGCGCCATGTCTGCTGCATGTATATATCGCCGCGGTACTCTGAAACTCTTCTGACGGTCTTGTCTGGCATTCAAGGTATGGCAGCTGCAGCATGTTGCGGGTGCACCATCACGCCATAGAGGACTTTTCAAATGCTTTGCTTCTGTGGGGAGCATATGCAAGGTCACCTCCAGCAGACAGTCTGCACGTTTTCGTCAAGCTTCGGGGCGCTTCATGAGGCCCTCCTTAGATCGTGGACTCCAAAGACAAGAGACTATATGCAGCTGAGCCCAGCGAGAAGTGTGGCGAGCCATCAAGTGATCCACTTGCCTGCTCGCCATGTATTCAACTTCTCTAGCAGTTCCTGATCGTACTTCGAGCGCGAAAAAGGGCGACCCTTCCAGTCAGCAAGTCGAAGTGCCGAGCATCGATTAGGCCGCGTGCGCAAGAGCGATGAACTCACTAGGCGATCACTTTTGAGCTGATTACCTAGCGTGATCCCTGCATTTGTAATTGGCACCATTGCGAGGCCGGTCTAGTCATCAGAAAAGTGTCAATGACATGAGCTGCACACATCGGACTCACATCCGGGCCTGGCGTTGTGCTTTCTACCAAAGAGTTCGATCTTCCTACCTCCAGGGCAGAGCCTCTCTATCAAGCCGTACAACTCGTCAGGTTTCCTGCTGGTGTCCCTAACTTCCGAAACAATCACGTCCGCACCAAGACCAGCATGAGCCCAGCTAGGAACGGCGGATCGCGCTCCTGCAGGTTGAGCTGCCGGATAGATCTGGCTCAGGTTTGAGAGCGGACTAGCAAGTTGTGGGGTCTCCTCTAAGTCTCTCAAAGGTTGGCGCTTCGCTCCGACCAGACAGTGCTCTTTGGTATGATTCAGCCAGTGTCCAGTCCGGCCGGTCCGAATCAGCCTTTGTGTTTGGCCAACCTTGACCCACACGAGCTCATCGACGCGAGCATAGCTACAGCAAACTTCGGCTTGTCAGAAGTGGCAATGACGGGGCGGGCTGCTGCTCGATACCGGCTCACCCCCACATTGCAAGTAGCTCTCGACCCAGCTCCATCGCTCTTCCGGTAACCCACAGGAAGATAAAGCCCTCATCTTGCAGTTGAGCCAGAGGCATCGACCTCATCTGATCGTCCGTCATTGTTCCGTACGGCAGGCTATGTAGCGCACAGGTCGCGCACAATCAGCTTCGATCTTCCTTCATATCGTGGTGCCTCGGCACTAACCTCATGTGAATGTCCCATCTTCATGAGTAGCGGAGGATTTATGAGTTCCTTATGTGGTCGAATGGCGTGGATGCCTTCCAGACCACTCACGGAGGATCGGCCAAGATAACGTCAACTTTGCCCAGCATGCTATAGTCAAAATCTCGTAAATCCACATCCATCCATTGTGGAGGCAGCTGCACTGGTGGAGCAGCCTCGCTGGCCGCTCCACGTCCGCCGTCCCCACCACCTCCCCCATACCATGTATGCGCGCCGACTTGCTGAAGGGCATGAAGAGGGTGCCGCACTGATGCCGTCTCGAAGAGCTGGGTTGCAGCTTCCGAGCCGGACTCATTTTCACCTGACGCCAGACCCTGCAATACCGCTGCACGAGATGTTGGAGAAACTCCTGGGTTGGCGGAGTCATAGACCTGGGGACAGGGTTCGCGCAGCTTGGAATGCCAAGCAAATGGGCTTGCGTCGCTGGATCGCACGGGGCGAAAATGAAGATACTGAGGCGGAATGAGAGAGCGGATTGCCGATCGGTCAGTCATTCGCCTCGTGGAAAGATCGTGGAAACGAGCCGCCGGCACGCACTTTGCATGTCGTCGTTCGATGGCAAGTATTGAGGTAGCTGCAGTGACCATAGCTGAGATCTGTCTGCGGATACATGACCACTTCAAAGTGCACCGACTGACACGTGAGCGCCTCGCCAGATACTTCCTCATGGCCGCTTTGCCAACTCAAGGCAGCTGCACAATCTGCAAGTGTCAAATGTTGACAAATTTCTTGATGTCGAGTGTCCGGAGCGGAGAGCTTGAAGCACCAGAGCAGGCTGGTCAGACGAACAGTGATGTGACTGTGGCCTCGGACACGCAAGCTCACCAGTTCAGAAAGCAGACGAGTCTTCGCAGTGCGAGGCCTCAAGTACAGGGACGAAATCTCTTGCACCGCTTTGGCATGTCTATGAGCAGGCAGACTTTGCAAGGTAAGTGTGACATCTGCTCAGATCCTGGCCGAGCAGCGCGCAAGTGGTCGACTCACTCAGTCGACATGATGTTGCGATCTCTGCGCTCAGCGCCCCCTATGTCCAACAATTTGTTTGACTTGAGCGAGCGAGCGCAAGGTCGCTGGTGAATTTGGTGTATGCCTGTCTCTCGATCGGCATGTTGCGGAGATGTCGTTGCGGCAGGCAAGGTACCCTTAGCACCCCACAGCAAAAGGTGATTTCGTCCCATTTGGATGCTCGACCACTCATCAGCTCGTGACCGACTCACTCACGACTCAACTGTTGCGTGACTTGTTCAGATTCATCAAACTTTGTTGTGACTTCCTCAAGGCTACCTTCTCCACACATGTCATAGGGCCACGTGACGGATGGCAAACTCGGCCCGCCCGCCGCGGTCTCCGCGGCGGACCCCAGGGAGCTAAGGGGGCACGCCGCACGGCGCTGACGTCGCACCGATTCACCATTCGCGTGCAGCATGCGCGATGCAAGCTGATAAGCTCCTGCCGCGCGGCTTGCCCACATCTGATCGTAAATGCCTTCCTTTCGCTCTCAGAGAACCGACTGACGATCTCAACAGCCGCATCCGTGCTCCTTCATTCTGCTGCCACTGTTCACAATCCACAGTCCAGGGCGCTATCTTGGAGGAAGAGGACCTCGATGCTTGGGAGCGTGGGTGAACCCAGCAACGTACGCATCGCGTGCGTGCCCTTGAATCCTTGTGGGCGTTGACCCAGCCCACGATCATGCATGATGCAAAGCGAGGCTTCGGTGCAAGATTCTGCGCGCGGACGGCGTGCCTGACCGATGCCAGCAGCAATTTCCGTAGCTGCAGCATCGCGGCCCCTCACGCGCGCGCGTCACAGGGTTCGAAGCTCCATGCGCATCATGCACTTGAGCTATAAAGGTAAATCAGAGAGGAGTTGTGCGGATGGATGTATGGGCCATTCCCACACCGGCAAGCGGCAACGAGTGGGGCCGCAAACACGCCACCATTTAACTACTTGACCCAACCCAGATGGCAAGAGTATAGCCGTGGCTGGACTCTTAAATTGACTTCCGGTGGAGCTATGAAAGTGGTGTGGACGTTGGGCGAGCCACTCAATCAGGACTGCAGCACGTATCGCTTCACCCAAGGAGGCGGCCGCGGAGAGTGTTGATGTGTGTGTGTACCGGTAAATCTTGGATGGCCGCGGAGCGCGACGTGCATGAACGCTTTGGGGCTGTGCGCGGTCTCGCTCGATCCTCGATGCCATGGCATCCTGACGCAGCGCACGCGCCCACCCTCTCGTTTTGGGGGTGTCGTTTAAGCTCATGACCGGCAGGCAGCTCGACGGATGCGCACCCTGCTGGCTCGCAGCGTCTTTTCCGCCCGGCTGGCCTTATTTCAAGATACTG